AGAAAAATCGTGCATATCAGGATTGGACGTCAGTCGTAAAAATGTTATCATATTGAAGCTGAAAGACTATGAAAACGTTTGAATACATTCAGTGAAGTGTTTTGATGGGAAAATGCAGTGGAATTAAGGTTTAAATTTTAGATGCCGAAAACAGTCCATGGGTGCCGAAGTCGACATTTACCCCATATAAAGCAAGTTTCAAATCAGTAGACACTCTTTGTGGACAAGGTCTACTGTATGGAAGGTAGAGACTTTAGTTTGATTGAATGTTCAGATGCCTAGTGCACTACCCAAGTAACATTTTACGTTTTATGAAGTGCTACAAAGCTACTTTAAAACAACATTAACAAAACCCTGGTTAATACAGCTTTGCCTTTATTACATCCACCAAAACCTAATTAAGACTAGAATCAGTCTGGTTGGCCCATTCTGGAGAAGGTTTTGAAGGGGATATTTTTTTAGGCACTTCAGGATTGATTTGTTTTAAAATAACTATATGGTGAAAGCATTGATAACCATTTGAAACCCATATATAAACTACAGTAAAAGCAATTTGGTCCCAATTGAAACCAATATTGTGCCATTTACCTTAAAGGCTTACTTCATTCACTAAGCTCAGCACTCAATTAAGCTGAAAAGGAATTCATAAATATCATCCGACCTTAGCAAACTCATTTCAACCAAAAAAAAAAAACTGATCGAAAATGACACTGTTCAAAAAATCCTCTTAAATGTCCTCATCATTAAAGTAAAGTAGTTTCCAAAATGATCAAAGCTGTTCTCATATTGTGGACAAGTTTCAGATGCCAAATTAAATCTTATGTGAAATGTGTTTCGGAAGATCGAAAAAAATAAGCCCGCCTTCGGAAAAATTAATTATGCAATAATTTTTAATAAGGAAAAAAAATTCTTAAATTAATTACTGTGTCCTGCTGAGATAATTTGACGATTTCCGTAATGCTCATTGATGCAATGAAGACAATAATTAAGGTATTAAAAAAAAAACATCGAGTAAAACGAAGATTGTAAAAGAAATAGAATAATATTGTCCATCCCAAGTAACAATTTCGGTTTTATAAGGGTTGTGATGACCATGATTTAGGCTTGTAGCATGCTGTAAAACCTCCATAAAACTTGCAATGTTACTTGGGATAGGCCATTTGTGAAAAGCTGTTTTGCTTTCATGAAATCCCTAACAAATGCCACACAGAGATAATTTGCCGACTGAATTGTTTTTATCTGAGGCGATTTTGCTTAATCCTAAACTGTTTAGTTTTATGACGGCATTAATCATGGCAAAGTTGCCTGGAAAAAGTTAAACTTCAAAATTTGTTTATCTTTCGATAGTTTTGTTCTTAGGTGTGTTGTGCGATGACAGGCTCTACTCCACCGTTGGGTCAACGAGTTGCGTGGCATCCTCGATATGGACGATTTTCTCCAATTCTAAAGCTACTCAGAAAAGTGTCTGGAACGTGTAATTTGGAACAATCGTTCCTGAAAAGTTTCCCTTCTCCCGGATGATGCGATGATGTTTATGTGCGCTTGCTTGGATTGTTTGGAAGGTTAACCCTTTCGTCGAATGAAGTCGCTGCTATGATTCGGAAAACAGCCAATTCCAGCTGACTGATAGTTTCTGTTGTTTCTTGTCGGCAGATTTCCGCTGTCTCAGTTTGGCACTGATACATTTTAAGAGTTTAATTTGATGGCTTTCAGCGCTTCATGGACCACATTCACTTCATTCTTCGCAGTTGGCTGCTCTCTTGTTGTACTATATATCGGTTTAGTCGGAGCTGGTAAACAAGTTCTGGTTTCTACTAGTTCGACCATCGGCATTACCTTGTGGTTCCTTGCAAGCCTAAGTCGATAAAAATGTTCGCTGTTTGTCTCTATGCGGATTCATCTTGTTAGTTTAATTTGTAAACAGTTATTGTTCACGTTTGCAACCGATTCTATAATTTCATTTATATAAACGAATAAACGAACACTAAGGAGGTTTAGGGTTGATTTACCAAACAGTTTTATGAAAGGATAGAGTGCTGTATTAAACTCATTTTCAAAACCAGACGTGTTTTGACTTTATCTTCAGACTTTAAAGGGTTTTTAAAACAGCAAAATGCAGTTATACTAACCAAGAATGTGTTGCACTATTAAATACTATATTTAAACTAAAAAGGTTGTTTAATGCCGTTATAAAACCACGATAAATCAGCGTGAAAGCCAAAAGATTGTTGAATTGCTACATGGGTAGCTAAGCCCTGACTTCAGTCAACATTTCCCTGACCTAAAAAGAAACCAATAATCTTTTGAAAATTAAAGTTTCAACAGACCCGATTGTGGTTATTGAGGTCAAATTGATTTAACAGTTTCAAATGTTGGGTTAAAGGTTAAGGTTGTGTTGCACGGATTATTGATGCTCACATTTTACTAATTATTTTTACTATTTTAGTAACTAATTCTGATGGAATGAATACATCTCGCATTCTACTCCAACAGTTTAGGGAGATTGACGCACTCTTCTTAACAAACATTTCTATGGGAAACTTATTAAACACTACGAATTGTGTTATTCGATTTGTTGGCTCGTATCTTTGGAAGGGTATTCTTATTTTCCTATTGATTTCAAGTAAGTGTCTCTGCTTATGGGTCCACCCCTACGTTTTGGCCCTTCATACAGCGATATTGTGATTTCAGATCGATAACTCAATTTAATCTTCCTATCAATTGGAGCCGCATGCAAGACAGGATGTTCGAAGGAATCATGGCTATCTTACATACATACATATATACAACAAAGACGGCTGAAGTTGTGCATTTTTTTTTTCAACCACAAAAGTCAACCAACATTCAATTTCTACCTGCACCATGCACCTTTTCCAGCATCGTAAATGTCGACGATATCTTGCCGACAGAATACCACGAAGGTTGCTGCTCATACATCAATAAAATTGATGCAAATTCTGTGAAAACAAGCAACCGAAGACCCAAAACGATCAAATTGATCTCCTATAATGGCAAACCTCTTGGTCCTCTTGGAAATCCGCTGCAATCCGCGGCAAGACCCCAAAACAGTATCGTTGTTATTTTACCTTGAACGGGCAATCAGTTCCGTATGATTACTACCTGCAACCCATCATATGGTGCGCTCCAGTGTGGCACCGAGACCGGGTAGTATAATATTAAGCTTTAATCTAAGTGCGCAAAAAGCCTACCCATGTAGCTACGATTTCAGTGTGGGTTATGCAAGAAGCTTTAAGCACGACGTCCACGAAAAAAAAGTGAATCTGATTTTGGCTCGATAACATTGTTCCTCCCGCCACCTCTGTCTCCAGCCAGTTGTAGAGAGAATCATGGAGCGCAGCGCCCGTTGATTAAAAGCGAGTTAATTCCAGCGCTGCTGCTGCATAGGCACCTTAAACATTATGCGCCCGAGTGAGCATTTTGTTTGCTTTATGCTCACTGGCATGGATATGAATCAGCGGGTTTTTACGCCACCACGATCACCACACGGAGAACGATTTAAATATACAGCTTCACTGCGCCTGCCGTGACGTAAATTGATGTGTTTCGGAATGTCATAAGTCACGGATCGCGCAGAGATTGATTATTGCGGGGAGATATCTCTTCGTAGGTCGTCGTGTGGGCTCAAAGATGTTGCAATGCCAGTTTCTATTGAATATGGAGACCAACGTTTGGGGTACTTGATACCAAATTGAACTATCAATCCAACCCAACCGCTTTCTTGATCCTCCTACCAACAATTACTGGTGGCAATCTTAGAAAAGCATTCCGATCTCAACGCCCTCCGAAAAAGAAACCGTGAAGAACCCAACCCAAAGATTGGTAGCATTGTTATCAAATCCATTGCGGATGCCATTTCCTCCCATTCACAGTCAAAACAAATAGCACACAACTCTTTTTCCTCCGATTTCCTGCGCTCCAGAGAAAGAGCACTATCCGAGATCTCCCCCCGGAACCCCCTGGTAACGAATGTGTCTTTATAGTGTACCTGCCGTTGTCAGTTTGGCTTCCTTTGTGCTCATATCTCCGCATGTGCCCTGGCCACGCTACATCTCGAATCCCACACCGAAAGAAAGCAGTTTAGTGAAAAAAGAAGCACATGCTCACATTCAAATGAGGATATTCCCTCCCCGCGTCTGCGGAGATTCCTCTTTATTTTTATCATTTTTATCGTTAATTGCGGGCGTTGGAAAAAGGTTTCGCTGGGAGGTGGATTCGCTTCGCTGGTTGGCCACAATGAGCGTTAGGTACTTTGCGAGGAGAGACTCGACCCCTTCTTTGTTGTGGCGATGGTGGTTGGCGTTCCTGGTCTAAGCAGTTTTTTGACTTTAGCTTTACGCGATAACTTCGAAATTGGAGCTTAGGGGATTTCATATCTGACGACCGCATCCGTATTCCGCCCTGTAGCAGCAGAAATGCAATTTGGTCGCAGTAACTGGGAACGATTATAGCTGTGGCTAGTGAAGATTTACTTTCCTTGTTATTACGGTTCTGGATGATGGCCTTATTCGGTTTATTTCTTTTCATTTGTAGTTGAAACCTCGATCCTTACAACAGAACTGTAACATGGACGTAGTCGTTTTCCGTAAAAAATCAATGGCAATGAACCTGAATCCATTTCCAATGCCTCAAAACTGATGATACTTCTGCTATAGAGCATGCTACCTGTGCGTTGACCCATCGGACACGTGTAGCAATTCGATCCAACCCCACAATTACCCAAAACTGCAATCGAAAAAATCAATTTTCTCACATAAATCATCCTTATTAAAGCTTTGATTTAATTCCAATAGAAAAAAATAACGTCCAATTCATCAGCTGCTGCACACTTAGCAGCGCATGCGCTATCCCGTGGACCCGGCTTAGAATCAATTACCGCTTTCAATCAACCCCAATATTGATACATCGACTACTTGTTAGCTACTGGCCACACATTTCAAATTAAAACTTTTCCCTTCTTCTTCTTCCCTCTCTATTTCCAGATCACACCGAAAGATGGTCTTCCGACGGTGGTGTGTAGTTCCTGCCGCGATCAGCTGGAGACGTGCCACCGGTTCCGACGGGTGGCGTACAAGACGCAAAAGTCACTGCAGAGCTTCCTCAGCTATGCCGCCAAACTGAGCGGAAGTGCACAGGTAAGAAGAGATCCTGTTCGGGCGATAAGCTAGAAACAAAATTCGCAACCTGCTACCCAGCTAGCTACCTGTGGGTAAAAGATCGGAGTGATAATGAAATTACTGGATTTTGGAGCTGCAAATTGGGGAACTGCCAGGTGTACTGGGGACCACACACTCACATCTGGTGGCCGAGCTGACGTCAGATGGCCGTGGCAATTTGCACCTTCCCGGTAGGGAAGTGCAAATTGGAGATTGGTGATCTTTGGACGCTGATAGGAAATCATTCGATCATTGATGGAGTTGGTGTCCGATTCGGGTTTTCTCACGTTACCAACCTTAATTAGTTGCTAACTGACTCAACAGCATGTTGCCTCAATGGCTGCCACTTGGATTTTGTTCCAACGCACAGTGGTTCAGAATGCAGATTTAAGTGGAAGGATATGTTTTGAGCCCGAAATTGAAACTTTAGACTAAAAGTTTCTTCTACAAAGTTGTTCTTTATAGTTACGCCCTTATTTGTATGACAATGAATTCTAGGGTAGTTCTTGATATCATTAAAATAAAAAAAAAACTTTTTTGTTTGAAGAAATTAAGATAAACATTCTTCGGCAAAGTTATAGCTGAGCTAATTTCAAGCAACTTTGTAAAAAAGAACTTTTTGTGTCGCTTAAATTGACTGATTTAGAGCTATTTTCTTGAATTGAGTTAGGGTGTCTCTAAAAAACAGTTGTTTTGCTCTAGTTTTCTTATTTCAAATAAAGACCAATAAAGGTGTCTTCAAATAACTTTTAGGTCTTTGAAAGGCGCAAATTTTTGCTGCGCTGAACTTGTCTGTATATTTCGCCGATCAAGAATTATTGACGTTTTTCTACTAAAATATGCCCTTTTCAAATGTTAATATCTCTGGTTGGAGAAAACAAAATTTGGCATTTGAAAAGGTGCTTGTTATTACCAATCATATGAAAAAATAGAGGTATGTTATTTTTTAAACTCGTATACAATCGATTTGAATTTATACATATTTTTTACTATACAGGTATACCTCGATATAACGTAACTGTCACTTTTGACTTCCATCGTCAATATCTTCCTAGAAACAATTGAATCATACAAATTGATATTACCAATAAAGGGGGGATTATCTCATCTGTCATCTGTCCGATGGTGTTATTACTTTGCTTGTTTGAAAGATCGTTTGTGAGAAATCGTCGATAGAAGTCAAAAGTTACAGTTACGTTATATCGAGGTATATCTGTAATTGGTTACATATTTTTTATTAGAAGAGATGCAGGCAACAACTTTTGCTATAAAACGTGCGTCTTAAAGAGCTTTAAAAATCTCTAGAAGATGACTTTCATGAGGAATTTGAAATAAAAAAGTTAGTGCTAAAAACTATTTTTTTTTTCAAGCAACACCCTAAGTGATACTTTTGGTATTTTAAATATGAATAAATCAAACAAACTAATCAATCATGTTTTTAACACTTGCTCTAGACTAGACTAATAATCGATATAACATGATATGTGACCGGTAACAAATACCATTGTGCTCAGAAACAGCAACTTTTTCAAAAAATCAATAATTTTAGTAACACTCAGAGAAGAATTTGACAGTTCGTAAGGGCCTAGGTTGCAAACGTAAACAAGGGCTTTTTTTTCCGTCGGTCTTGTTTTCCGTATTGAATACCAATGCTACCGACGCCAGGGAGGCAGCTCCCACACCTGGACCCTACGTATCGACCCATCAACTCATGGACCGGGGATCAACGACTTTACTTCCCTTCTGAAGGAAGGCGTGATCAGAGATGTTATGCCTCAGAAAATCCTGACGGCGCCGACTGGGATTGAACCCAGGCCTTTGGCCAATGACTTTTTCGCAAATTTCTTAAGAATGATAACTCGCCAAAGGAAACCACCAGTATGATTGTGTAGAGGAAGTGTCCGTCTAACTGACGGAATTCGTGGACGGTAGACGCCATTGTTAATGTTTGAGATGTTTTTTCCCGTATGAAGGATCACTGTCGAATTTTCAGATTCTTGATCCTCATTGTTAAGTTTCTAATATCAGTATAAATTCAGAAAAGTGACATTATTCAATCCCTCCTAGACTTTTTTAAATAAGGGGTTTTTAACAAAACGGCCTAGACCACAAATTGCACGATCCTGCGCAAGATGAAATCAATTCCATCAGATGCCTGATGATGAAATACATTCCATCAGTTTCCTGATGATGATGATGATACCTGAATAATTTGATCAAATTTCTCCAGCGAGAACTTTAGTTGTTGGATTTTGAGACATTTGTCCCCAGTGTGCACTCGTAGTGGTATAAACAGGTTGTCATTGCATTGGAGGATCCCATCCGCCATCTTTAAATTCAAACATAAAAAAAATAACCGCCATCTTGAAGCAGAAATTGTTGTGATAGCGAAATTTTAAAATTTTCCAGCAATATTGCATGTAGATATTACAGCGGAACTATATTATAATCCTCCATTTAGGAACAGCCGCCATTTGACAACTTCACAGTGAGGATTACATAACAATATTGCAGTGCGTCCATTTTATCAACGATCTGCCATCTTGAATATGCCATTTTTTAAATATACTTTGGAATGGAATTTGTTATTGCAATAACTGGATTTATAATAACTTTACAGTAATATAGCATTTTGGAAGATTGATGATTGCATCATAGACCTCACCATTTAAAAAAATGTCTGCCATCTTGGAATTGACGTTTTCATTGTAATAACTGAATTACACAACAATATAGCAATTTGGAAGAGCGTACATTTCATGGACCATCTGTCATCTTGAACCCACTAATCTGGTGATTTACCGCCATATTGGAATGAAAATTGTCATTGCAATGGTGGTATTATAAAATATGTTCAACAATATTGCATTTTCAGAAGATCGTCCATTTTATCATAGACCCATCACACGCTATGTCTGAAGGCACTTTTTTTGTAACATTCATGTACCTCATATTTTTCTTCACAAGATGTTAGCATTGATCCTAACAATCAAATCTGTGATGGTTTTAAAATATTTCATCTTGGGTTTTTAGAGAAAAAGTGTTCTGAAGTATACTAAGTCGTTTACAAAGGCGTATACGAACTATTGATGATACAAAACTGTTACGGATCGAAACAAATTCAGCTGAAAATGATTCAAAATGGGACTAAAGTTGTCAAAATACTGGTAAAGTAAGATTCCCTTTTCGGTACCGTAAGATATTGTAGCTTTGTCATGATATCATAATGTTTAAATTAATAAAATAAATAAACAATTGTGTAGTCTATAAATTTACTATTATTCAGCCATTCCATTGCAAAACGGTATAGTGGTTCTTAGAATTCGGTAAAAAATTGTAATTTTATTCCTTATCGCAAAATATTTTAAATTTATTTTGTGTCATCAGGGTGACCATTTTAACGTTGGAGTAGTCCAAAAAATCGTTTATTTTTTATTTAATTTTTTAAATGCCTCTTTTTAAAATTTATAACTTTTGAACAATTGGGCTGATTTCAAAGATCAAAAATTTGAAAAACATTGATTCCTGGTCTTCCTGCGACGTTTACAAAAATAACCTCGGCTAGTTTTTGCCTGCTTTTGGCGAAAAAGTGGTTTTCACTACATGCATGGCGTTTCATAGAAAAAAGCTGCGTCAGACATAATTTGCAATTTTTTTATGATTTTTTTTTTTCTGCGGTGATTTTTTCTAACAAATATCTACAAACTCGCACATCTTTGACTGTCGAGTTTGGTTTGAACTTCTTGTTAACATCTTTGTTCTGGATATTTGTGAACCTCAATTTTCATAAACTGCTCCATGCGTGAGTCGTAATAACGATATTTGTTTAGGTGGCGAACTCTCATTTTTACCCTGCTCATGCCCTCGATCACATTTCATAAGGGAAGCGTAAAAGAGAAAGAGATATCACAAGAAATTATTTCTACTATACCTGTTTTCTAAGGCATAGAGTAGGAGTTGTTCAACCAACGACCCGATGAAACAGCTTATAGAAGTTACATTCAAATTCAAAGCCCTGTTTTTTCTTGATTTCCTTGAACTTCGATGAAATTCTTCGAACTTTCTTGATGTTCTTTGACCGTCTTTGAGTTTGGCTTTTTTTCCTGAAATTCTCAGATATTTCCTAAATTCACAGTACTTTCCTAATGTTAATAAATTTTCCCTGTAGTTCACATACCATCCTAAAGTTTGCCAAAATTTCTTCACGTTTAAAGAACTTTTTACAGAGCATCATTGAAATTCATATAATGTTGCGATAGTTCACAGAACTCTCTTGAAGTTCGTAGAACTTACCAGAACGACATTGAACTCCCCAGAAGCTCACAAAACGTCCCTGAAGTCGGCAGAAATTTCCTGAAGTTTAAAGAGCTTCTCTGAAGATCGAAGCACATCTTTAAAGTTTTAATAATTTTCCTGAAGTTTGTAGAACTTCCCTGAAGTTCAATGAACTTATCGGAAAGTTGTTCAATTTCTCTGCTTTATTGGAGGAATTTATTTAAAGTTTGCAGTACTTTCCAAAAATTCACTACAGTTCCCTATAGTTCATAGAATTTCCTAGAAGGTCGCTGAACCTTCCTGAAAATTTCCATGGACAAAATATGGGAACTGCAATGAAGCTCTAGCAACTCTGTAGTAATTCAAGGTGAGGGCTACCTAAACTCACTGGGTAAGAGTTACTAACCTCATGTGAGTTTCAGTCCAGTATTATTGGCATTATCGGTTAAACGATTTTTAAAAAAATATCGTCATGATTGCCAGAATTTAATTTCGATCTCGCCGTTGAGTCAAACATATCTTTTTATTTTTAAAAATCCAAACAAGTTTTCCGCCCCTCAGGATGATTTTGTGGGAAATGCCACCTTCGCCAGCTGCTGAGTACAAGTCACAACACTTTCGGATACCTACTATCTCCTTTATTTAACTCCGGTAAAAATCTTTCAACGATCGTCGCTACTAAAGTGGCTTCATTTTTTTTCAGC